AATGTGGGAAATATTTGCAGGTCATCCACCATTTGACAATAGAGCTCACAATCATCGTTTGATTTTTGATATATGTGAAGGTTTACGACCACCAATATTACCTGAAATGCCTGGTGATTATGTGCAAATGATGCAGAGGTGTTGGGATGTGGATCCATCAAAAAGATCAACTACTGGAGAGTTGTTTGATTTTTCTGTAAATAAAAATAATAAAATTATTGATAATACTAGTAGTGGCAGTGGTAGTAGTGCTTCGCAACAAGCACACAATTCACACCCAGATGCATATCATAAAAGTAGAATATTAGATGAAGAGATTGCTAAATCTAAAAGCTTAAAAGGCTTAACAAGTAATGATAGCTCGTTAAATAATCTTGATTTTAACTCTTTTCTCTAAAATGTTAACAAAGGTGAATAAAAATTTCATTATTAATCAATTGGAAAATTACTATCCATTAATTATTACTAATGATATTAATTAATTAATTAAATAATTATTAACATTAGATTCTAGTAATTATAGTAAAGAAAGAATTGATGAATGACTAATTTAATCTTCACTATAAATTATCTTTTTATTTTATCTTTATTTTGATTTCTTTGTTAAATTATAATAATATTTTGAAATAATAACTTTTTACAATTTTTTGGCTCTTGTTAAATGGTGATGTTGTATCATCTTGGTCAATTAACAATTATGGCCTAACTTCTGAACTAATTGTTGTTAACACTCATTAGTTAACAATGTTAGTCCTAACCTTGCTTGCTCACTAAAGCAAATAAAACATGGCTTTTTCCAAAGCTCCACAACTGTTACCTTTTACCAAGGCATTAATTACACTGTTGTCTTGTCAAAGTGTTTTAAACAAAGACAATGTTTTTATTTTTTAAAAATAATGATTCTATCACAGAGTTTGATTTATTAGAATGTTAATTATCTATTGTTTCCCTCTAATTTTCAAGTGAAGACTAGAAGTTATTTCCTATTACTATAGCTACTCACATTCAAGTTAAAATTTCTGTTAATCACAGATAAAAGGTAAAAGATGGATGATAGATAATAATAATAATTATAATTCACTATTGTTAAAGGTTAATTATTATTATTGCAAAGTAACTTTATTGTTATAAAAACTTCCATAAATTCACATAGCAATTTGATAATAATTATAAAAGCTTTTGTACACCACTTGGACATCTGGAAATAACATAATTGATGATTTTATTCAACATATATCAACTATTTGCGGCAAATGGTAGCTACCAATAGCTATTTACGGCAATGGTAGCTACCAGCTCAATCATTTACGGCAAGTGTCTTTAAAATATAGTAGTTTGAATAATAAAACAAAGGGAAATTTATTAATAATTTTGCAAGAATTAAGAAATATAAAAATAAAATTAACCATATGACATGGTACAAATTAAAACCACAATAAAAAATAACGATACACTATCAACAACATTAAACATTCAAAAAATGATTCAAAGAATTTCACACATAAACCTATTGAATGCTTCTACATATCAAAACACCATAATCATAATAAAAATTCATCTAATATTTC